GTAAAGGTGAAAATGAGGTGCAAGCTATCAGGAGCTTGTAAGCTACATAGGACAAGAGTGTTGGCTTTGGGCTGGGCATGGTGGCTCACACCAGGAATTCGAAACCAGCCTGACCAAGAGCCAGACTCTGTCTCTCCTAAAAATAGAAAAACTAGCCTGGTGTCATGGTGGGCACCTGTAGTCCCAGATACATGGGAGACTGAGGCAAGAGGATTGCTTGAGCCAAAGAGCTTGAGGTTGCTGTGAGCTACAATGCTAGGCACTCAACCCCAGGGCAGTGGAGTGAGACTCTGTCTCAACAAAGGAAAAAAAAAGAAAAAGAAGAGTGTTGGCTTTGGACACAGTCAGCTTTAGGTTTCAGATGAAACCAGTGGGAATTATCTAATCTACCTTAAACCTCAGTTTCTCATCAGTAAAATAGGGGGTAGGGTATTAATTATAAATACCTTTCAGGATTTTATAAGAATTAAATGAGAATGCATATAAAGAGGTTGAAACAGAGTATGAAACATTTTTGGCAATAAACATTACTTACTACTATTGATTCTACAAAGCTTTATAGCTGAGATAGGAGTGGCCAGGTGAGATAGAATGGGTATATTTGAGGGTATTTGCAGACCCAATTATCAATCTTTACTGGCATCTGTCACAACCAGTAAGGTAGATTTTTGTCTGTATGCCCACTTTAGAGATCCACCTACAGAGAGAAAAGTGAGTCTCCCAAAATTCAGTAATAACCAAATAAATTTAGATTTTCTGTGTTAGCTCTTTCTACTATGATACTTCCATTGAGAGGGTATTTTAGAAGTCAGTAGACCATCTGATACACACCCACGTAAGAGAAAAATTAAATTCAATTCAAGTTGGGGAAACAGGGAACAAGGAAGGAGGGTAGAATAGAGGGGGATTGGTGTGCTCCCACTTAATAGGCACAATGTAAGGGTGCCTGACATTGGCACACCTCTTTGGTGCAAGACACAACTACAAGAGGGACTCTACCCAGTGGTGTATACCCTCACATTAATCTGAAATTTTTAAAAAAAGGAAAAAATAAAAGAATATTTTAGCACCCAGTTGCTGGATGATTTATTGCTTACTATTCAAAAAGGTAGACTTAGAATCTTTCAATGACTGAGCTTGGAAAGCATCACAAAAATTATATTTATCTTATAAGATCTGTTTCCAAACTACTTGGGAATGTTGATCTTATATTTGTAGGGATAGAAAGTCTATAACCACCTTACTCCATTATGTATTTATGCCTAAAATGAAGGCATACTTGGTACTCCTTTTTTTAATGGTTAGCCATCAATAGGTGATTTATAATGCCTTCAAATATTTTCCCAACTGACTGATTACACCAGTTGGAATTTCACCATTAGAATAAAATTTTATTGGTGGTGCCC